TTCATAATACCTAGTCATGCATATTGGTAAAAACCTACCATTTTGCACTTAGTTGCCTGAATGTAAGCACTTATAGACAGGTTTCTCAAGGGATTTAGTGATTTAAAACATGGGATCATCTACTTTTGCAAGTGAGTTAGGCACCCACTGGGAACCTGTTGTAACTCTGCGTGGATAAGTACCTTTCAGTATTTAATTCCTACCTACATGTTAAATCATAGAATCATAGAATGGTTTGGGTTGGAAGTGACCTTAAAGATCATCTAGTTCCACCCCCCCTGCCATGGGCAGGGACACCTTCCCATGGCAGGGGGTTGGAACTAGATGTGCATAGTTTGCTCAAGCCCTTTAAATATAACTATTATATCTTACTGCTCATCAGTTTTGAAAAGATTTGCTTTGAGAAATTTATCATATGACAGCTGCAAACTAGGCTTGCAGTCTTCCTTCCAAAATTCAAGGGATATTATCTCTTTTCAAGGAATCACACTGGGGAAAACCCCTCCTAACTAATGTGTGCATTTTCATTTCCTGCACTATGTTTCTTCAGTCATCTTATCGGTACATTTTTTGTCAGAGTTATGAAGGGAACCTTGTATCTTTGTCAAAACTGATCTGCTAGCAGAAATATTATGAGGCCACCTATGATCCTGCAGCAAGAGCCAAGAAAAGGACACAGAGGCAAATACTTCCAAAAGAATTATTCAGCAAAAAAATATGTGTGCATATCATATTCAAGTGTTCAATGATGTGTGCCTGAAATGCAATGTAGTTGTGGAGTCAGACATTTTGTAAGGTGCTTACTCCATGTCAAAGAGCAAAGATATTTAGTCTCCCATTAAAAAACACAGAACACAACAACAAAAAAAAAATCCAAAAAAACCCCAACAACCAAAAACCCCAGCTCCTCCTCCAGCAAAACCTCTGCTTATCCGGAGCCCGAAAGGAATCTGCACATGTATACCCCCTGCGAGAGAACAAAGTCTTCAGTCCCTGGAATGCAATGCTGTAAAAACAAATACTACAAAGCCTGGTAACAGGGGGATGTCTCACTTGCGTATTTTTTTTGTGACCATCTTGGTTTGCAGAGAAGGGGGTCCCCAAAGCATGTGAGCCAGCAGGATCTCTTTGTACTAGGTTGCTGTCTGTTTGGCCAGATGTCTTCCCAACAGTGAGACAGAAAAAACAGAGCTCTTATTAAAATAAGTCAGGGAAAAGAATGGGAAAAAGCATGTGTCCAGCGAAACGAGGCACATTGTGTCCCATCTGATATTTATTAAACGTTGATCAAATCAGCAGTGAGAAATGCACATCATGAGGAAGTGACCCTGGTTCCCTGGGTTTGGAAGTTAGTGACAAATGTCTGGGAGCAGACCAGCATTGAAAACACATGTACAGGACACAGAGAGGAGTATGCTGCGCTAGGAGCAACAATAACAAACAGAGAAGAGCAGACTTCAGCCGAGAACCCCCTTTTGCAGATTTTACATATGTTCTATCAATGGCATGGGTGTGTGGGGTCTTTCCCTGTACATTTACTCTGCAGCTTTCTAGATGAGAGGTTACACATCTCCTGGAAGAACACTGCATTTTGTGTAAGCCATGAAAGCAAGCAGTCAAGTGGGTAAAAGAGGGGAAGTTTTGTCAAATTAAAGCCAAAGCAAAGGCTCCTTCAACCCTTGACTCTCAGCTTTTGTGATCAACCTGGAGAATTTTATGCCAGCTTGCTGGGTTTTGTGTAATCACAATGAGCATTTGAAATCATCTCCCATCTGTTATTGCTTAATGTTTTTGCTATCATGTCTTTTCAGAGCAATCCTTCAATAAAAATAAGTGTCCTCACAGTGCAGACTAAATGCATCTCCTGTATCAGATCAATCTTAGTTGAGCTTGATCCTTAAACAGGGTAGTGGAGACGAGCAACAGGGCAAGCTGAAGCAGGCTTTGTCTTCAGGGAGGTTGCAGAGCCCTGATTACACTATAATTCATCCCTATGCAGAGATGGTTGTATTCCTGGCTTTTACCTTTACTCATAGCCTGGATTATTTAACAAAAATATGTTAGAATGAGTCTTCCAAATATTTTCTTCAAGGTACCTCTATCTTTAGTAATTTTGATATGTTTAGTTAACTAGAAAGTCAGCTGTTCCTAGAAGCAGAGTTAAGAGCTATGTATTTGCAACAAAGAATAAATGTAATAGCTCTGAAAAATTTTACTGCGTCCATCTCTAGGCAAAGGAAAACAAAGGAGCCTGTGATAGCTCTGTGGCTTAGTTAATGGAATCTCTCCTGCCTGTATGATCGCTTAGTATGCTGTGTTTATGTTATTGATACCAACAGCGCTGGACTGTTAAAGGATGGAAAGGTCTGGCTTTTGTTGGGGTGCAGTTCTGATGTCAGTTTGAAATACGCTGAAAGTAAAAGTTCCGAAAAGCCAAAGTGCTGTTTTATTGAACCAGAATAGAGAGGACTGCGACAAGTGAAACACGATCCTTATGAAGCACTGGAACATACATGATGCTAGATGTTGAACTGCAATACATCCAGTGACATCAGCGAAGTTTCAGCTCATTACACTACACAGGAAGCCAGAAGATGGTGACAGAAAGCAGGTCATGTCATAAAATGAGTAATCTTAATATGAGACTGTAATCAAGTGAAACTTTTCTGTGAGCAGTTGCTGTCAAAGGTTGTGTTTTTATTTCTGCCTTCCTCTGTGCTTTGTACTTCTGCAGTCTATCAGTCTTGCCAGTTATGGATCTGGCCCTGCTTCCATTAACATTAATATAGGGAGGATCAAGCTTTCTGTTATCTGTGTATTTAGAAGGTGAATGTGATGTGCTTTGTGCCCCAAGTTTCTTGTGTTTTTTGATATGTGAGATGTTCAAAGACTTACAGGATTAGAATCTGAATTTTAAACCCTTCAGTGGAGGAACGTTGCATTCAGCGCACAGGGGCTCAATGAGCCCATTAGTACCAGCTAACAGCAGCAAAATGGTGCTCCAGACACCGCAAGTTCCCACTGTGAAATAATTTCAGTCTCTGAATATCTACTATAAACCCTTAGAAAACTGCATTTTCCCTCTCTAGCTGTTTCAGCAAGTGGAGCCTCCCCACTAGCAAACTCCTTGAGACTGTAAACCAAACAAAGAAAACCAGCCCACACATCAGGATCCATAAGCAAATTTGGCTATTGAGTTACAGACTTTTCACCTTTCCTTTTGTGGTGCAAGAGTTATCAGCTTTCCAAATCCAAGTCATAAATAAATGGGCTATGCAACTGCCTGTCTCTGTGCCAGCTCCCTTCCTTCCCACCTGCACAGGTGGGAGAGAAGCCTTTTCCCTCTGGAGCTTCTGTTCTTGGGTTTATGGCTACAATTTTTTGCCTTATTTTCCCCCACTCTTCCTGCTCCTGAAAAAAAGAACTGGATGTTCCTGCCTGGTCTTATGCCTAAACCCCAAGGAACCCAAATCTCTGACATTGCTTCCATCACAGGGCAGAGAGAATGTGATGTCACAGATGAAAAGTTTAGGAAAAACATGAAATGACATAATGTGGAAAGTGGGCTGCGTGTGAGAGATGCATTTTTGTCTTAGCCACAGCTAGTACATGTGCAGAGGGAATTGTGGAAAATGCCTTGTCAAATAAACCTTGTATAAATCCTCTTCCTGAGTTGCTCCAATATGGTAATCCCTCCTTCAAGTACCCTAGGCTTAAGGAAGTCACTGGAAAATGCTGTTCTTTGAGAGAGAAATACAGTTGACTTAACTTGATATGTTGGTCACCCGTCCTTCGTGAACCCAGGGGAAGTGGCCTGTGCTTTTCTCTTAAAAATGAAAAATAAAAAACTGCTCTGCAAAAGGTCATGAGTTGGGTAAAGTAAAATCCGCTGTGGGTTAGCCCTCAGGGGAAATATAAGTTACTCATAAAAAGCTACGGAGCAAGTTTTGATTAGTTAAGTAATCTGGTACACAGAATTTATTAGAGCTTAAAGCTTTCCTGTGGGACTCCCCTAATAGTACACAAATAGAGTAAAATATCAAAGAAATGTGTTTTCTGACAGGCACAGAAAGCTACATTTATCCTGACCTGCTTAACACACATTGGAAGGAGGGATAAATCCTGCACATTCATTCCAGTATAGTGGTCCAGTTTTCATGTTTTTACACATTTGTGCTTCTGATTAATTAATTGGTAACTTAATCAATGCTTCCAACACTCTGGAGCTGTTCCTGAGGAGCATGTCGAGAAAAGAGGAATATTGCTTCCCTAATAGTCTCAAAGATATCAAACTCTTCTGCAAAAAGCTCAAATATAAAATAGTGAAGGCGTATTTTCTCTCTTCAACTTGAGGCCCTTTTTCTTACATTTGTCCACAAGGGGAAATTCACCAGCATTTTTCTTTTGGTATAGATGTACAGCTGGCTTGACCAGAATAGCACCCCTTCTTCTCTGTGGAAATAGTATTCTCCAAACTTCAAAAATAAGAAAAAAAAAAGTCTCTCGTTATGGAAAGTGTTCATATGGTAACCATTTGTGGTAATGGTTACGAAGCAGGACCAGTACTCCTACCAGGTTTTCACAATGCTATTTTATTTCTGTATTTTCCTTCTGCTGGAGCATTTACTGTCTCCTGTTGCCCCTGCAGGGAGACTGAATGCTAAGAAAGAGCTGCTGCGGCATGATGCCTGACAGAGGAGATGCTAATAAACATTTGACTTCCAGAGCTCACCATAGTCTTGTTAGCACAATCAGAAAATAGTCCTATCTCTCAGGAAAGCCAGAGGTTTTCCTACTTCTCTTCCACATACTAAAATTACAAAGTGATTGTTTTGCTATGCTGCTTTAACCACTGTGGAGTCAGATAGATAGGCACCCATATATCATCTACTTACATAAGTACTTCTTTCTTTAGAAAATGGAGGACAGGAAATGGGGAAATAAAACCGGCGGTGTGCTCTTTTCCATTGTTTTAAAATTCTTAAAATCTTCTTTTGCAGGTATTCAGGAGGGGACTCAATGTACCAAATGTAAAAATAACTGGGCACTGAAGTTTTCCATCATCTTATTATATATTTTATGTGCCTTGTTAACAATCACAGTAGCCATTCTCGGATACAAAGGTATGTATGCATCGAGTGCAACATATCACTTTCAGCCAAGCACCCAAGCATGTTTCCACACATTAGATAGACAAACAATTTATCACATTTTCACCTTAAATATCAATGCTTTGGCAATGTTGTTTGTTGTACACACATGGTCATTCTTCCACCACAAAGGAGTACTAACTGGAAGACTCAAAGCTCTGCAACATGTGCTATAGCCTGGTTTCACTGAGCTCTTTTACTTATGTTGCACCTTCCCACAATAAATGTCCTTCTTAATGGGAGAGCCAGGAATAGTCTTACTATATAATATTTATCACAGGAACAAAGTGTAGGATCAGTATTACTTTGAAGTATCTGGAAGAAAGATTGAACCAGGAGATACCAACACATTGAGTTATCTACAATTATTTTGATGAACAAAGGCACTTTTGACAGTAATTTCAAAGATTCTGGTGGTTGGACAACCCAGTAATGGAGAAAATTGCATTTGTGCAAGTCATCAGGGCACATTGGAAAGCACAGCTTAAAATTCCCAGACATCCTCAGCACTAATTAACTTAGGCATTCTTATGAATGCATTGATGTAAATGTCTGCTTATTGTGCAGTTACAGATATAATAAGTCAAATAAGATGTGAGTTTTTGGTAAGAAAAAGAGAGTGAATAATGTGAGTATTATAACAGGGCATCGCAGTGTGTTGCAGAGAAAACCAAGCTAGCTTTAAACTAGCTGCTTAAGTATGGCTCTGAGAGTAGCTTCAAAACCCCTCCAAGAAGCTGGGTAAATATTCATACGATTAACATGCAGTGTGTCCTGTGCTGCCAACAGCGGCGCTTGTAGCAGAGCTGACATCACTTCTGGTCCTTTGCCAGTGAAAGAAAAGAAAATTGTAGATATAGAAAGGGGTAAATACTTATTTAAGAAGATTTGTACAGTTTTAAGTGGGAAGAAAATTAGAACTGCTTGGTTTAGATGGAAGATTTAGCCAAGGAGATGAGAGAATGTGAAGGATGGATAGAGACACGTAGGTGTTCCTTTTTCATGATAAAGCAGACAGAATGTGGTCAAATGTAAAGAAATGCAGTATGTATATAATTGGTCAGACATTCTCCTGAAGAATGTGTAACTGGTCTCTGGAAGCCAGATTCTGAGGGAAAATAACTTTCCGGGATTCAAAAACTTTTTCTTGGTCTATAAAGATAAGATCATTTGATTATGTGGACTAGGGAAGGACAAACTTAGGCCTTTTACAGATATAAATCTTCAGAGATCTGCTTACAGCAGGTGGAGGATGGAATCCTTCCAGGCTATAACCTGGCCATTAAACACCTGGGATTTAGCAGAATTTTCCTCAAGAGAGTTTTATACAAGGCTGCCAGTTCCGGAGATCACCCGAAGAAGACACAGACCTCACTCGGCATCAAAAACAGTGTATCAAGTTGGAGGGACCATTGCTCTGTATCTTGGCAAATGGTTGTGTGTGTGTGTGTAGGAAGCAACAGCAATAAAGAAACCATCCAAAAACATTTCTTTTGGGAAAGGGAGTTTCTCTTCCTCATTTCAATCCACAGTTTTCAAGGTTCTTTCTCCACCGGGACCTCTAGCACCATCTTTTCCCCAGGCTCTCCTCTCATCTTGAAGCCCCATCTTTGCTACACTTGATTCTAAGCCTGCTTCTCTACTGAGTAGTCATTGTTGCCTGACCGACGATTAGTCTTTCTCTCATAGCAGCACCAAGCCACATCTATCCAGGGAAAGACAGAAGAATTTCCTCTTCCATTAAAAAAAGGGAAAAAGAATATAGGAAAGTGGATAATGCACATCTTGCTCACAGACCTTAAGGCATCCTGGTGACCATTGCTCCACCGCTCACCGACTTGGTGACTGCTCCAC